CCGCTTTCTGCAGCTACTCCGTACACTTGCGGGTAGTGAAAATATTTTGCGAACAACCCACAACCGATAAAGTCATAAAATATTGTCCATCCTGGATTTGACTTGAGACCTCGGTTGCCTTCACCTCCTCCTCTCGACGGGTGATTAGCGCGGCAATCTTTTTATCCTTCTCCCTGAGGTCGTCGGAGTGCTCCCGAGAGATTTTGGCCAGTTCCTGTTTGAGGTCAAAATTATTTTTGGCCAGCTGCTTGACCATCTCCCGGGTAGTGGTGACCTCCTCCTTGAGAACCTGGTAGGAGGGACCAATCCGTCTAGGTCCTCCTCGAGCATTAGATACGCAAGATAGAAGTTGCAGGAAGAGAAGAGCATATGTATATGTGTATTAAGCAACTTATTAACAAAAAGTGGGGGAATAGAGTATACATGAACCACGCTCATGGCAAAAAGCCGATGGTTAGAGCATCTCCAATGATTTAATGTTGTTGTATAATAGTTTTGACAAATGTCAATAAATTAAATGGATTGTGAACCATGTAGGAAAAATGTTAAGTTTACAACTATAAAATTAAAAAATTATATTCAATGCATAGTATAGTCTAACTACAATTTTATTTACTAACCAAATATAAAATTTTATAATATATAATAAGAAAATTAATTAAATAATTAAATTGCTTGGAATTGGTAAGAGTTATTTTCTCTCTTCTCTTCATTGGCTAGCTACAAAGTGGAGGAGAACGTGGATGAATCACATTCTTGTCTACATTATAGACATTAATTATGCCCACATCATCACAACATTTGTGATCACATTCTACATTAAAGAATAAAAAGTTGTGGCATTGATAAATGTGTTGATGTGGAATGTAATTTTCACAACAACATTTGAGCATTGGAGATGCTCTTAGACCCCAACAATGAGTTTCTTCAGACGGTACAACCTTCATTAGTAGGAGGCGATAGCAAACCATTAGAAAATAGGTTGAAGCCAACAATAAATAAAAAAAAAAAAAAAAAAACATGAAAAATACGCGACCCAAATTACAATATGACCTTGGATCACGACCATGTATTAATTTGGGAGTAAGACACTTGTCCAATTCATATAGGACAAGTAGATAAGATAACAATAATTTATATTAAAAAAAATAAAAATAACAAAATTTGAATTTTTTTATTTTTTGTAAATAAAAATTACATTTGATAGATTTTTGGAACATAATTGCAATTTCTCTATTTTCTTTAAGGTCATATGACTCCAAAAAAGACTTGGACGAGCACATCCTCCCTAGCTGCTTCTGGTGCTTCGGAATCCTACTTGGCGAAGAATCATGTTTCGTAATTAGGTTTGGACAAATAATATTGATATATTAATAATTAATAATCTAGGTTCGGACATTCCATAAATATTATTTATCTAACTTAGGTATTTTAATATCACTTGTACTAATATAACCTTTAATTATTTGTAATTTTACATAGTGAGACACTAAGTGACTAATATATCTCCGCCATTGATTTGTTTCCTTCAATTAGCTATTGAATTGTAAATGTATTTTAAAAGTTGATAACTTTTGTACTTCTTATCGGTTTTACATATATTATATATCAAATTAATCAATTTTTGATGATCTTCGATTTGACATCCATTTTGTATATATGAAATAAATAAATTATATTTATCTTTATAATAATAAAAAATAATAATATTTATTAAAATTCATTAGAAAAATAATTTTATTTATCAATTGATATATTTATTTTTAATGTAGTTATATGTTGTAAGTTAAAAATTATTATAATATAACACATGTAAGTCGCACAAATAAAATGTGTCATACTAAATATAATATATATATATATATATATATATATTTGTTAAAGATATTTAAATTTTCAACTACTTTTTTTCATTAATTTTAGATTTTAAGAAAAAAAATTAGCAAGCACCGGTGTAATACACGGGTATTGTACGAGTAAAGAAAAGATTTGCTAATGATAATTGATTTGTGATTGTATCATAAAATATATTTTTTTTTATTTATTACGTTTTTAATTATACATTTTTTTAATTAATTTATCACAAGTAAAACAATAACAAAAATCTAACTGCAAATATTATTTAATAAATAAATAAAAATGAAATAAAATAATTATTTTGTGTAGGTGGAACCGTGGAAGAGAGCTGGTTTGGATCGGGACAAACATGGTCCAAGAGGCAGCAAATCAGGCGACCCACCTAATTATCTGATTCTTCGTCTCTTGGCCCCAACATTCAACACAAACCCAAACTCGAAGTGAGCAAACCCTAGCCTAATCCGCAGTCCCCAGGACTCTAACCTACACGGCCGAACCCGACGACGAGGACGGAGGCGCTGCTGCATCTTCCATCTGCCGGGCGGCGAGGCGGTGACATTGCGGTAACTTCCATTAATATAAAAATTATATTAATGGCTAATTCCTGGATTTTTGATTTTTTTGGTGCTCGATTCCATCGTTCCCTTAGTATGCACACTGCGCACACAACACACTCAGAGGGGTTGTAAAACATATTATATTGTTGCGCAGATGTGGTATACTGGTGGCTTGGTTTCAGTTCATGTTTTTTTCTTTAAAAAAAAATGTTTCGGGCCGAGATGCCCTTTTATAGGCCCGCCCCAACCCGTTTTGACATATCTAATTGGGTGTTACTGTAATTGTACCAAAGGTTGACGATGAGCTCGGAAAAGGACGAGGATACCACGCCCCGCCAGCGACTATCGTGCTCCAAATATTTTGATGCGCTGTGGTTTTGCTACTGTACGCTCCTTCATTTTCTCCCTTAATTATTAGTACTTTTAACATTTTTTTTTTTTGGCTCCCTACACCAACTGCAACTTCATCGATTTGTATTGATTTGAAATCCATTAAGATTGTGCATCTAACATTCATAATGTATTAACTAGTCCTGTTCTTTCATTTTTATTTTTTTTTATAGTTTCCTTAGTATCAGGAAATGCATTTTTGTTCCTTCTTGGCTAGGTTGATGCTTGACAAATCATAATGTAGATATTAGATGATGATAAATCATAATGTAGGCGTTTAGTGGAATTATTTTGGTTTGTTTTAGATAGCTTGATTTACTCATGAACACGCGTACCACATATTTGATATTAGGTTTTGTCGAACATATACTGTTGGTTAGTCATTAAAAGTCGATGGGTTTTGATTTTTGGCAGCTCCGGTCCACCAGATGCAGCAGTACTACCGGCTTGGTTCCCTCGATAATTGCTCGGGAAAATGGGGTGCCCTTTACGACTGTTTAAACCTTAAAACCAAAAGAGCTTCGGAAGTTGAGGTGTGTTTATCAAACTTGCTTGGTCACTATATTTCATATATCACCATTTTATCGCATTTGTGGTGTTTGCTTTGAATTATGTTGTCAAATGTGTGCTTTTTTTTTT